TGTGGTGATGGGTTTTGAGTGACAATGATGGTAGTGACAGTCGTTAGGGGCAACGATAGTGGTGGTGGTGGGTGTGGGTGGTGGTGGACGACGGTGGTGATGGGCGGTGATGATGGTCGTGGTGGGCGACAATGAGTGCTTATAGGCAACAGTGTGATGAGTGGTGACGAATGACAGCGGTGGTAAGTGTGGTGAGGGTAGGTGACAGTGAGTGGTTGTAGTGGTAAGCGATAATAGTTGGTGGTGGTAGGTGTGGTAGGGTAGGTTATAGTGGCTGGTGGTGATAGTGGACAACGATGGGTGGTGGTGGGTGCTGACAGTGGGTAACGGTGGTAATGGGATAATGATGGTAATATTGATAAATATAAAAATAAGATGACGATGGTAGTGGGTGGTGGCCATGGACGACGATGCTAGCAACAAGTGGTAGGTGGCAATAGTGGTGGCAATGTGGCAATGAGGGTGGGGTGGGGGGTGAATGTGGAGCAATGGTGATGGTGGGAGTAGGAGTGGCGGGTTGGCAATGGTGGTGGTAGTTGTGATAGTCATGGGGGAGTGGTAGGGGTGATGGTGGGACAATAGTGGTGGTGATAAGGTGCCACAGCGATGGTGGTGGGGCGGTGGAAATGGTGGTGGTGCTGGGACGATGGTGGTTATGGTAGTGATAATGGTGGGGTTGGGGTGGTAATGGTGAGCAGTGGTGGGGTGGTGGATATGGTAGGGTGGTGATAGTGATAGTAGTGATAGCGGTGGTGGTAGTAGTGGCAGTGGTGGGGCAGTGGGGGTGGTAGAGGTAATGGTGGGACGGTTTCAAATATTATTTTAAAAAAAAAATACTTATGAGAAATAATCTAAAAAAATACTTATAAAAAGTTACTCTAAACACATTTTTAAGGGCCTATTTTTTTTATTAAATTTAGAGTGTTAATATTAGTTGTTAGATTAATTTTAAAATAAAATTTAAAACGATTTTAATCGCGAATAGAAAAAGTCATTTTATTTATCTTTTGAAATTTGAATTGTATTGTATTTTATATATATATATATATATATCCATAAATTCATCTGATGGTCTCAAATAGATATATCTACCGACCACTAACATTCTTTTTAAAACTATTCATATTATATCGTACCTTCAGACACTAGATACCCATAATATATATATATATCAAGCTTTTTCACTTAGAGGATTTGCACTAAATTGGCACATGTATTTAATTGTAAATGTTAAAGTCAAGTCTACGGAAGCTACGAACAGGAAGACCTTGGTGGTTGGAGGTAATGTGATAGTGGACCAAACCATAGGCAGATAAACAATAGTTATCCCTAAAATTTATTTGATTGCGAAATGTTCATAGCATGGACTTGTACTCTCATTGAGGACTTGGCTCAAATTTTTTTAACAAAAAAAGAAAAGAAAGATCCCCTTTTATGAGGGAATAAAACAAAGACATGCAGCAAAACTGATTCTAAATGCCTTTCTAAGCATAGAACTGACCCAAAACCCAAATGCATACAATATTCATCAAAGTCGACACTTTCAGCCAAGAACCCAAGTTTCCTCATGTTATATAAGCTGCAGATCAACCAATTAGAAATTATTTTGATTATTTTTTTGGTTCTTGTGCTTCCTTGTAGTGTAATCAGATAGATGGGTTTAAAAGTGTCAAATATTGAAATTGTAATTCACATTTCATTTTATTCTCAAACGCATTACATTCTCACATTCATTACATTCCTACCTAAAAGTATTACCGTATACTAAACACAGCGTTAAGTGTTGCCAAAATCAATTCTAGAAGGGTAATGAAAGTGGGGGAAAGATGAAAATAAGTGAAGAAAAAGAGAATTGGCTTTATGTGATGGTCGTGACAAAACAAGGTCATAAAATGAATAAATTTACGTGTTATTTTTTGTTGTGCCAAAATGTGGTGCTCTATACCACTTGGTAAAATGTGTGTGAAGTCCTTTATAGGTATGAAAAAAAGGTGGTCTTGCTAAAAAAGATAATAACAAACAATATGAGCCACAATATCATACCGTATGAGTTCAGAATGATATTCTGGTATTAGAGTCCGTGGTTCTCGTAGTGTACTTTGCACACTCCTTGTGAGTCATCCTTTTAAATCTCACATTGGTCTATGAAATATTTTAAAGTTATGCATACCTATCCTAAAATGAATAATACTATATAATGTGGGTCTGACCCTCTATACAAAATGAATAATAACGGCAACATCAATTGGCTTGTCGGTAGCCATGGATTAATAGTCATGTGGTACTAAAAGTCATATGCATAGTTAATCAACAGAGGTTACAACCACAAAAAGCAAATTCATTCATGGAAGGAAAGAGCATTGCAGTCACAGAAAATTTGGTAGGATATGGATCATGTGTTGTCAAGCATTAATCATAGAATAATATTACTAAAATATGCTTTAATGTGAATGATTGGATTAATAAGCATAGCATTTTTCTTTAAAGTTCAGTACCGTAGTATAATCCCAAAAATTCTTCAGTACTGAGGCCCATCGATTGCAAAATCTGGTTGAATTTAAACCAGTGCTCTATGTTTTCTTCAAAATGTGCAGTCCTCTTTACTAGGCCGTCAGCCCTTTGTGGAGACCAATGGAGTCTGTAGGTACATGACCCCTGTGGCCATATACTTCTACAACAAATGAGGTCATGGGAGCTGACAAATTCCTAGACGCATCTTAAGTGGCATCAGGTAAACGCATACAGGTTAGTTCAGTGGACGAAATAGAGGCAGCAGGTAAACTTGTATAACTTGATTTCGAGTTCTAGATCATAAACGTGAGTTTAACTAATGCCCATAATTAGTTGGTGATTGCATGTATTTAAAATTTACGTTTGGATAACGATCAAAGAGCATGTGATTGATACGATGCCCATTATACAAAACAAAGGAAAAAATTTGGTGGCTCTCTAGATGGCCTAATCATGTAGTTTTCTCAAAAATATATGAATTCATATGGAGAGTTTGAAGTTGAAAATTCCCTACTTCAACAATCGTAGAAGCAACTATCTCCATAGTTCATGATACTTGTATGCATGCTAACTTCCACACGAAACTAAATGAGAGTACTCAATACAACCTTGTATACTTATATATACATATACCCGTCCCTGATCAATCCTTGACAAACACATCAACCTCCAAATAACATTTCTATTTTCTTCTGAGTTTTGATAGAAAATATGTCTCGCCAGCTGATATGGGCTGTAGCCATTCTATTACTAGTTGCAAGGTCGGCCATGGCTGCACCATCGTGTGCGCAGGTTAAGCATGAGACAACTCCTTGCTTGACCTTCCTGCAACTGCAAGGTGAAGTGATTCAAGACCCATCTCCGGCTTGTTGTTCAGGTGTTAAGTACATCGCAAGCCAAGCAAATACTAAGGCTGATCGGATTTCCATGTGTGACTGTGTAAAGGAAGCTTTGTCTTCCATCTTGTATGATCCTCAGCGCCTCCCTCTTCTTCCCAATTTGTGTGGAGTGAAACTTAATCTGCCTCCAATCGACCAAAATTATAACTGTGACGAGTAACTCTCTCTCTCTCTCCATATTTGTAGATAGTGTTTAATATAAGGAAGATACTAAACTTTCTTTTGATGCAGGATTGGACTTCAGGCTGAGGCCCATCACAATCACAATTTCTAGAGAATTTACACAACATATATACAAGCCTGCAGTGGACTATAAGCTCTCTGCTTTCTTTCTGCAATAACTGGAAGAAACTGCATAACCCAAAAAATGTAGAAATTGAGACACTACAAAATGTACTGCAGCAGGGCAAATGTGATAGTATATAGCTTGGGAACTAACATCAATAAATACTATTTACCCAGCCAAAAAAATCAATAAATACTTCCATATAATATCTTCTGCAATCTCTCTCTCTCTCTCTCTCTCTCTCTCTCTCTCCTTATGCCTGTGTGTGAACCAAATAGCTAAACATTTATTTGCCAACTTTACATCGTTTTCAGTAGAAATCTGAGATGTAAACTTGTCGTGCTTAATGTGTTTTTTCTAGTTAACCAGCTTGCCATTGTCTTGTGATTATTCATATGGATATTAGATATGTTTGGTGTCCCAATAGCGTTGATCAAATTGCAACCTAACATTGAAATTCTAAGAATCATTCATTCACAAGGATAAATTACAATTCGACCCCTTAAACATAGATTTGATTTTACTTTGCCCCTTAAATTATATAATTTTTCGTATAGTCCCTTTATAACTTGAATTATTTCACATTGCCCCAAACTCAAGCATCCATTATTTATTTATTTTTCACATTTCAAGGAAAAGTGAAAAAAAATCACATAGTCAGGAGGGTAAAATAATTTTTTTTATCAAAAACTTGTGAGAAATGTCAATAATTGAGATGATATGAAACTAATTTAAAAGGCAATGTAAAAAATATGATAGTTGAATGGACAATAAAAAAATGATCATAGTTAAGAGAGTTAAAGTATAATTTGCATTGAAAAATCTTCCAAATGAGTATTGTAGATAAAAAATAAAAAATTTATAATTTTTTAAATAATATTATATTAGTTGTTGTCAAATTAAATAATTTTTTATTAAAACAAATATTGACACAAATCCGACATGTACCGAAAATGATACGACACGAAAATAACACGACCGAAAATGACACGACACAAAATTGATGTAACACGACACGACACGATTAACACCCCTAACAGCTACTCCGTAAACAGCCCCAGTGCCATGCACAAAATCAAGCTGACAACATATACATATATGTCTTCTCGATCCTATTCATTAGTCAAAAAGAGGGGTTGAAACGGTTGGCTTCCATGACACTTAAAGTCCTACCTTCATCAATTTGGCCACCAAAAGCCTCTTTAAGTGCTACGAACCATTCATTATATAATTGAACATTTCACTTCATTCATATACAATACACTTTTGACATTAATTTACACACAGTTGCTGCGGAGAAGACAATGGCACAGAAGAAGTATGTGGTTGAGATCGAGAAGGCCAAGGAAGCAACTGATAGGAAGCCATCAGTGGGACCGGTTTACCGGAATGTGTTAGCGAAAGATGGATTCCGGCCACCGGTGGAAGAAATTGAGAGCTGCTGGGATGTTTTTCGGTGACCTTTTTTCTCCCTTAGAATTACTCTTCTCTCTTGTTTTGAGAGTTTAGACCATATTTCATGTTTAATTATACATAACTTGATTTTAGAAATGCCAATTTTTGACACGATATGCTAACACGATACGAAATTAAAGAATTTAAGTTTTCTATAATTCAGTTAAAATATGATACGACTTTTTAATACAACATCAAATAAGAGAGTTTGAGTTTTCTGTAAGCTACGCGTTTTGAAACCGATTTAATCACTTGAATAATAAACGAATCCGATATGGATTAAGTCAATCAAAAAAAAATAAACAACATGACTCTTTTATATACCAGTTATACATGATACAATATGACACGAATTAATAAACAAATCATGTATACACGATATAATATGATACGAATCAAGTATGAATATAGTACTTTTTCACACAAACCTATCTCACCCGATACAATTGATATGTCTCTTATGATTATTAAAAATTACTAAAATAGTAGAATATATTGCACACATGATATAATATTATTATTTAGTGATACAAAATTATTAAAATTAGTGACCACTACTACTATATTGAGTAAATTATACTTTACCACCTGAATTATTATCTTTATTTTATTTTCTACTTTTAATTATAAAATTTCTCACATTACACTTTAAAGTATTAATTTTATTTCATATCACTCTAATAAATAATAACTGTCAATTTTTTGATAGTAAATGTGCATATGACTAATCTGTACTGCCAATAAACAATTGTCTATTGGGGCAAAAATTAAGAAAAATATATATCCATGATTTTACCTTTCTTAAGCTCTAATTTTTTTTCCTTTAGTCAATTTTTTTTTTTAACAATCATTTAGTCGTAAAAGAGATAAAATAAAGAAATACTAAACATTTGACAAAAATATCTTTGGAGTTTTCCTCCCTCATTTGACAGATTTTTAAGTTTGTCATTATTTATTTGAGTGATTTAAAATAAAATTGATATTTTAGGGTATAATATGAGAAATTTTACAGTTGAAAATATAAAATAAAATAAAAGTGAAAAATTTTATAGTTGAAAATAAAAAATAAAATAAGGGTAAGGGAACAAAATATAATTTACCCAATATTAGTCGTTGACATCACACCTAACAACGTGGTATAACCATGCAATGAATATTTCCTCCTGAGACAGTCAGTCTACTGGCATTTTTCTTCCGTTCTCAGCGTTTGGTTGCCGATAAAACAAAAGAAACGGAAACGGGAAGAGAAGATCATTCCGTTTGTTTGCTTTCTCGGCAACCAAACAGAGGAACTCGAGGTTTTCCAGGAATGCGGCAGGCACCGTTCGGTTGTTTGGGATGAACGAGAGACAATGGCTTCCATTGTTCACTCCCTTCCGAAAGTTTTCGGGTATTTTTTCGTTAATTTCATCAATTCTAACTCCTATACATCGTTATTTACAGAGAATCTGTGGAAAATTATCCTAATAATCAAATGCTTGCCGAGCGCGAGGTCGAGAATGGAAAGGTGCCTATGACTGCCTGACCACACACACTTGGTTATTTTAAGGTTTTTGCCATATGAATCTAAATTCTGTTGTTATGATTGTTTGTTTCCTCTATTTTTTTTTTCAGGCAGGTAAATATGTGTGGCTGACGTACAAGGAAGTTTATGATATAGTGTTGAAAGTTGGAGCATCCATCCGCAGCTGTGGTGTTAAGCCCGTAAGTTTGTTTTGGCTTTTGCCCTTTATCGGACTTCAGTTGTTTGGTAGGATCAATTAAACGTGTTTGGTAGGATCAATTTGAAGTTATTTTACTGGAAATGTAAATTTTGATGGGATAAGTTGTATGGGGCATAGTCAGTCACATGCTAATTCTCTACTTGCTCATATTCAGGGTGCTAAATGTGGAATTTATGGTGCAAATTGCCCGAAATGGGTTATAAGTATGCAGGTAAGTGATGTTATATTTTTTGTTTCAAGGTATAGTGTGCTGATCCGTAATGTTTCTTTCCTTCCATTTAACTGTCGTTTTCAGTGGAATTGGGTTTGGTTTGTGGGAGGGGGATGTCACTATAAAGCCAAATTGGAAGAAGTGTGATCTGAATTGAGTTTTGAAATACATTTTGAATGATATTCCTTGTGTTGTTCTGTGGGAAATCTGTCGTCTCTTGGGTCTAAGTTCTATTTTCTATTCGGTAGTTGGATAATGCCTGTATAGTTTCCCTCTCAGTGATTCAACCAAATGTTCTGACTCTTCTGCAGGCCTGCAATGCACACAGACTTCTCTGTGTTCCTCTATATGACACTCTTGGTATGTCTTCTGAAACAACAGCCCCTCCTCCCCTTTCTCTATATATATTTCTTGGTAAACATATTTCGTTATACATAATATACATTATTAGCACGTAAATTGCAGTAAACAAGCTTTTACTCACCATGAGGTTTTTTCACATTAAGCAGGCTGAAGTCCCAGTTAAAAAAAAAAAAAAAGCAGGCTGAAGTCTTATAATCAGGGCACCTGTATTTAGGACAAGGAGGGGCAGATTGTTAGTGAACTGAATATTATTGTAATTATTTTTATTATCAAATTATGGCCATATTGATGCTTGTCTAATTTGGAAAGTGGATAGATAAATGAAGGTTATTCTTATGGCACATATTTTTGGTATCAAAACTAAATAAAGTTTAGTAGTGCTCAAGTGTAGATCTCATACAAGTTGGGATACTCTGTACTGAATCATTTTCAATCCATTACGTTAAAAATGGTGGTTCACTGGTGTAAGTTTCATACATTTAGTGTGGTTTATACCAATGTTACTTGGATCGTGGGTCGCTTTGTTATGTGATACGTGTACGGGTACGCAATACAATACTTTCTTAAGTATAGGTACGATGAGGGTAGGTTTAACTAGTCTGGTATTTTGGGTCACAATTTGTTTTAGAACTTTTATTTAGATTGTTTTTACCACTATACAACATTATATATCAGAGAACATTCACCAACATTTAGTCAATTACCATTTATCTTACATTTGTGCTTGATTTTGTATTATTTAAAATAATATATAATTATAAATCTATATACACGTAGTTAATCAATTTGTATTTTATATTTATACTACGTGTATAATTTGGGATTGTATATTTTGGTAATCTGGACCGCGAACTCACCCCGTTTGAGATCAATGTATCCAGGGATGTCAATGGTTTAGTGAATTCTAGTAATTATGGTTTATACTTTATAATTATATTGAAATTTCGACACGATTACCATGACGGCTGAACAAGCTAGCCAACCAGGCAAGGGCCTAATGATATATCAATTAGTTAGCAATTAATATGTGCATCTCAGTCCATGTATGCATACCAGAATCCATGAGGTTAATGTTTCCATTGAAATTACTTACTGTGAGTAATGCAATAAAGAGGGAAGAATGACACTGGATGAAAATTTGTAATTGAATCCCTCAGTTTAGCCAATGCTTGACCAAAATTGTTTGGTTCTACGATTATTTATCTATGTAAGTGTAATTGCAATACTCTAGAGCCTCTACCCCCCACAATTTCTGAGGGTTTGCCTTTCAGGAATACATGACCCCTGATAATGCATGTAAGATTTGTTTAGCCTTGTACAGAAACAAATTAGGGCTGCTACTTTTAGAATTGAATAAAGGCACTCACTCTATCGAAGTTAAATTAAAAAAAAAAAAAAAGGCTGCTTAACTAATCGTATTTAATTGTCATCCTCCAAGTATGACTCAAATTTCAGATGTCAGAACTTAACACTTGTAAAATTTGGTTGGGGTTTTAGGTGCTGGTGCGGTGAAATTTATCATTTGTCATGCAGAGATTTCAATTGCTTTTGCAGATGAAACCAAAATTTCAGAGGTAAGCTATATAATCATACACACTAGATCCTAAATGGTTGCCTGAAAAGAAATTGCATTCCACCTTCATTGCTTCTTAGTTCGTTTATTCGGATGAATATATCTTATGGCTTAAATTTTTTCTTTGAGGAATTACTGTATACTAAGAATTTTTTTTCTTTTTGTTTCATTTTCAGGTATTGAAAACATTTCCTGATACTCACAAGTACTTGAAAAGTAGGTTAACTTTTGTCAGGTTTCATGTGCTTAATACAAGGAGAGTATGAGCTATTTGTTTATATTTTGACTTTGTTATGTAGCTCTTGTGAGCTTCGGGAAGGTTACTGCTGAGCAAAGGGAGGTGGCTGAAACGTTTTCTTTGACAATATATTCTTGGGATGAATTTTTGCTTCTTGTAAGTTACTTGCTTAGAACTCTAAACATCTTCACATCATATGTCTGTTACAGTGGAAATTTTAGTTATGTGACAAAGACATTTTTCCATATGGTTTGCTGTTAATTACTCTCAAGTGTTTTCAGGAAGTGGTACAATATATCTGGCCAAAACAAGAATGAAGGGAGCTTCTTGATATAACAGAGAAAATTATCTCATTATAATCATTTCTTTAGTACAGTCCACAAATTTTTGACTGATGCTTCATAACATACCCTGATGATGCTTTGATAGTTTGGTGGGTTCTGGAGCTAGCATGCTCTAAAACATTGCTTCTGCATCATGTGCTGTAGACTGTTTTCTTGTTCTGTTGCTTCTTGGCAACCTATGTCTGCTTGTTGATGAATTGTTCTCCTAAAACTCTTATCATAAGGTCACTTATGCCCAGAACCTGCTAGTTCTTAAGCATACTCTAGGAATGATGCCTATGGCTCAGGAAAGACTTAAATTGTTTAGGTTTATGCTTGCTTGCAGAAATCGTTTTTTTTCCTAACAGCTCTGCTAGGTCCATGTTTTTTGCTAAATCGAGGGCCACCATACCTTTTCACTCCTTGCAATTTGCATAAAGATGATATATTAGAAATAGTAACCTCATCCTCTTGTGATTACTACGATTGCCACGTATAAGTTGAAGGCACTTCCCTGGCAAATCATGATGGACAACAATGCGATGAATTGATATAAGACATCTTCCCCTTTAACTTAGAAAGGTGATGAAGGAACAAGTTTATAAAAGTCAAACCCGTGCAACCCCATCTGAACTTGAACTGTAGGATGTTAAAGTTGTTTGATACAGTAGAGATAATATTAAACTACCAACCACCCTCTTGGATGCATAATTAGTTTCACATCAACCCTATCATATATTTAGTCACCTATCTTTTCTGTTGTTTATTCTGTTCTGGCTTTACTTTATATAGATGGTTTAATTCTATAGCTACCCTGTATATTCACCTGCAGGAAACCGATGAGCATTTTGACCTCCCAATAAAAAAGAAGAGTGATCTTTGTACCATCATGTATACAAGTGGAACAACTGGTGATCCAAAGGGAGTAATGATTTCCAATGCGAGCATTCTTTCAATTATATCTGGAGTAAATCACCATCTACAGAGCATTAATGAAGAGGTGACCTTCGACTAATGCCAAGTAACCTGTTTTGTGTCTTCAGTGATAATCTTTGAAACTAAAGCGAAATCATACGCTTTTGATATGGTGTATTTGTCACATGAGTATGTGTGTTAGTTTCTGTGATGTATCTGTTGTTAATGCCTTTCTTTGATCAATTCTACCATTGCTTATACAGTTTACTGAGAGAGATGTGTACATGTCATATCTTCCTTTGGCGCACATTTTTGATCGGGTCATTGAGGAATTGTTCCTCTCCAAAGGTGCCTCAATAGGATTCTGGCAAGGGGTAAGTCGAGAAAGGACAAAGGATTATTCTCACCATGTGAATAGTTCTATATAATATGTTTCATTAATGGCATATTCAGGATGTTAAACTATTGATGGATGACATCAGAGAGCTAAAACCAACTGCATTCTGTGCTGTTCCACGAGTGTTAGACAGGATTTATTCAGGTAAATAATAAAGCGTATGACACACCTGCATGGTGTTATAGTTTGGAATATTGTCCTTGTGCTTTACCCGTGCTCTACTTGTGCTCAAGCATTGATCCATGCTTAAAATGTTTTCCAGAATGTACTAGCAAACTCTTGGTTTAGGCATTCCTATTTGTAGACTTTTCCTGAGATTTTTGTGGTTCTATCTTTGGAAGTAAAGAAATTGTTTAGGAGGCAGTATCAATTTGTTTGTTGATTTGTGGCCCCAAAGTTCTTGTTGATACCATTCGAATATAGATACAGAACAGTTTGCTTAACAGAGCTGGGATGGTATTTTCATTTTCTCTTACCATACAGATCGTCAAAGTGAATGTGTGAGATTTTTTGTTTCCATCCTAAAGCAAGCATATCCAAGGGGATGAATGTTAAATTTCTCCTTTTCAACAGTGTGAGGTTGGTAATCATGTTGCTACGTATATTTTCAGGTCTGGTGGAGAAGAGTTCTTCCGCGGGTTCATTAAGCATACATTGTTTA